CAACATTTTCCATGTGGCCTAAGAAAAGATGCTGGCTTGTGAGACAGTCCATCATGGAGAGCACCCTATATGTATTGCTTGAAACATGTCAGAAGGTTACTCCAGCAACCAAAGTTGCCATTTGTAGAGATGTTGCGTACTCCATTTGCCCTCTGTTCTTCTCTGACTTGTGAGTTCTTCCTCTGTTTTCCCCTATTTGGCTCTGTTATAGAAATACTGGCTCCCTGCCATGTTCAGCTATAATGAGCTGCAGTATTAACTGATACTGTCAAGTCTACAGCTTGAATGCAGGCCACTCCTGCCAGCTCCCAGAGCACTCTTATTGAGCCTTTGATCTGCTTGCATATGTTGGCTGCTCAGGCATTTCTCTAATGATTCCCTTCACTTGCAAGGAAGATGCTTTTTGAAGAAAAGCGCCTCAGTCTCTCTTGTGCACAATAATCCCCTGAAACCTTTCCTGTCTGTTTAGCTTCCTTGTCATGTTGGTGATACTGAACAGCTTTTCTCAGGCTGGCATTGAACAACAGCTAAGCATGAATTATTTTTCTGTTGCTAGTACTAATATAAAAGTACTTTGCCTTTTTTTTTTGTTTTTTTCAAAGCTTAGTTAAAAATATCAGTTTTCCTCTGAGATGTGTGTATCCTGAACATATAGTTATAATATTCCCTCTAACACAACTCTCTAACAACTGAACCATAGCAGTAGGGAGATCACTTCCTGGAGGCACAGATCCATGTTTAAACACCTAGAAGGTCTTAACTCTCACGCTTCATTTCAAAGAATCAATATGATTTTACTGTGAGTAACAGCTGAATAAAAAATTAGCTGAATAAAAATTTCTTACATATTATGCCCCTTTCTTTGGGAACGGTTTGATTATAAAGCCAGGTAGTGACCTGGGAGTCCTCACCTCAATTCTATAGCCTCACTGCACCAAAGTATGCTATCCAAAATAACTCTCTGTAGTCCAGTGTTTAAGATTGCAGTCTGTATGGTGTTTAAGTCCTGAGGATACTTACTTCACCCAAGATAAATCTGCTTAAGAAGCCTCAAGAAATCCTTTTACATCTGTGAAATAGGAAAATTTCCCACAAATACAGCTCCAGATCAAAAACAGAAAGGAAGGGAGGAGATGTATGGGCACTGAGTAGACTTCTTAGTCTAGAGGGTCCAGTGAAAGACAGGTTGACAGAGGACAAGAGAAAGCCACTATTGATATAGCATGTGTTTTACTCATTCTGTTGTGTGTGCATACACAGCTGCCACCCAGCCCTTGTGCGCTGATGAATGTCTCTATGCAGGCAGGTGTCAGATGTTAAGTAAGACACTTCCAGGCAAATCTTTTTCCACACTCTTGAATGTTTATTTTAGAAATAAGAAAAGCTATTTTGTACCACTTTCATATGGTTTAACCACATAAAAATGACAATAATTTAATTTTTTTAGAATTAGTTTGGGAGGTCTTTCTACAAAAGGGTGTTTACCTTTCCTGTGCAGTGTTCAGATTCCTTGGCAGTGCTTGAAGAGAGTCTGTCAGGATGAAATTGTGTATGTCTAGAAAATATACTTTAGTTATAGAACCTAACAGCTTAGAATGCTTTGTTTCTTACCATATATACCATGCGTACAGGGACTGATCCAAAGCTCTTGGCTCCATACTCTTTTGTCTCAAGACTATGCATTTTTCAAGTTCAACTTACATCATCTACTTTTTCCAGACTGACAATGCAGGGACAAGAGTACTCTGTTCTGAAGTCTCATTACTCCACTAGGACAAGAATTCTAATTCTAGCAGCTTCTCCTGACATGAGCAGCTTGCTTACTAGCTGGTATCACTTTCTGGTCTACCTATCTAGCAAAATTGTTATGTGGGCTCCAATTCTTGTAGCAGTGAGAGGGACATTTCAAAAGGCTTTGTTGTCTCTGCTGTTATTCATAACACACTAATGCCTAGACCATACTTCCAAGCTGAGAGTCTCATTGTCCTAGACAGTAAAGAAAGAGTAAAAGATTATAGAGTCTTAGAATGGTTAGAAGGGAACTTAAAGATCATCTAGTTCCAACCTCCTTGTGCAAATTGATGACTTTTAGCTGGGTTATAAACTAGCAAGTATGCAGATTTTTCCTGAAGTCTGAACACGACAACTGTGGTGAGCTAACAAAGATGTCAGTTCCACAAGGTTTCCTTAGCTTGATTCTGTAACCACCATATTATCTTTTTAAGTACAGGATTATTTCCTACTTGAATTTTAATTCTGTTATTGTCAGATGCATGCCGGACATCATGGCATTCTTTTTAGTATACCATACATATTGGAAGACTTATTTCAGCTTGGCCAAAACACCCAAAACCAAAGAAGCAGAAAAAAAAATAGATAAGGACCATGTGAACTAAAACAGGAATTATTTCAGTTAACATCACATAACAACGTACAGTAAGGGTAAAACTGTGTTACTTGAAAAAAAAAAAAAAAACAAACCAAAAACAGTATTAAAATAAAATCTCCAACAGTACAAGTAGTTTAAAAACTAAATTACAAATTTAGTGGGATAATCACAGCTCAAAGTGCTGCAAGCACCTGTCCCTGTTAGAAATAATTCTGCAGCCCTGTGATTTTATTCTGTAAAATTATCACTGATATTCTTGTGCTTTTTAGGACTTTGAAATTCTGCCAATCATATATGTCATTTATGATTTTGGTTACTTGCACATGCCTACTCTACTTTGCACGTCTCTACATTCTTTACTTTCCATGTAGGAAAGCCCATAAAAGACACTGGGAACTATGAAAGTGCAAGGGTAAGAAAGAATGTGACCTCATACTTCCTGAGCACCTCTAAGGAATCTCCTGTTTAAAGCAGCTGGAAAGAATTGTGAACAAAACAATGTTATGGATAGGGCAGTAGATACAACCTGCAAAAGAAATTTCAAATACTGGAAAAACAAACCCTTTCTCTTTACTGAAATATACCATTTCTTCCTGGAAGAAGAAACAGACACCCTCTTCTGCAGAAGCCAAGATGTCCAAAGAGTTTATGTGGCCGGCTAGCCACTGAGATTTGAACTACCAACAGAAACATTGTGCACTTTTACCAGTAGTGGAGGCAACAGCTATTACCATCACTTGAATAAAGGAACTCTGGCAACTAACCACGTATCAAAATAGATTCTGAAATAAGAAAATGCCTTATTTTCAGCACCTACTCAAGTATCTTACTTTAGATTGTGCCAAAACTGAAGGGTAGCTGATATCCACATTAATTCTGACTGACAACTTTACGGGAAAATCTGGGAAGACCTTTCCCCCAAGATCATTCATATAGAGAACATGCTCCAGATTAGTTTAACTGGCTGCCAGATGTCACTCCTATTCCACAGCTAAATAGTTCCCGGCACCTATATCAGGCTTTAGTGGCCTTCGGTGTATTATAGCCTGGAAAGCAGCCAGGGCAACTTCTAAGTGCTTGTGGTGATGCGCAGAACATATCCTCTCCTGTTATAAAATCAGCAGATATCATGGGCAGATGGAGCACAGAAGGGAACTAACGTGGCTTTTTGGTCCATCAGCATTAACATATAGGCAGGAAAAAAATATTTCTTACCTACTGGTGGTTTCAATTTGTTATGGGTGTTACTGAGAGGGAGGGAACAAATGCTCAAAATAGCTTTGTAAAATAAAGAAGTTACAATTGTTCTGTGACTGTAAGATGGCAAAACCCTGAATGATTATTTCCATAATGTGTTTACTAACATGATGCATTTTAAACGTGCTGAACTGTTTCTGTTGACTGCTGATCTCAGACTCTCAGAGTGGTTTTCCTCTGCTTCTTCCACAATTTCTGCTTCATGCTGCTGAAGCATGCTTCATGCTTCATGCATGTTTCATAACTTTCCTGCACTGTCTGCCTCAATTCTGCTTGAAGCCTGAGGGTGTCTTTCTTCATGATCAGTCTCTTTAGTTTCTGCCTGGCTTTGTTTCTTCAAGGGCAGGTTCTTTGAGTCTTCCTTGTCCTGAATGCTTAATTTGCTTCCCCAGCAATCAGTTTCAATAACGTCATGCACAAAAAAGAAGCTGGTTTTCAGAATTAGAAAAAGTGGCAGTGTCTAGCTCTCACGCTTTCATTTGGCATGTGGGAGTACGTCCAGGCCAGTGTAGCATTTTACATAAAGTTGATGTGAAGATTATTTTCTTATATTTTCATTTTGAACACAGGACTTTTTTGTGTACATATTTTTGCATATCTCTGAAGTGCATTCTTGTAGAGAACAAGACTGGAAGGCCTAATATTTTAACCAATTTTTTGTGTATGGCTGAAAGAATTAGAGGGTGAGTTCAATAGAGCTCATAGAGCAAAATCTGGTTTTAATGTTATAGACACTGAAATTCAGTCACCAACAAGCCTGCTGATGCAGGATTTACATAGCTAATGTAGAGAAGGGCCTGTTCAGTGACAGGTGCTCAGCCAGGGGTTGAAAAAGACCTATCCTCATGCTCTTCCATTGCATCTCTTAAGACCTTAGCACCCCCTACATCCACTGCAAGGAAAAGTCAGTCAGGAGACCAACAACTGGACCTTCTGGAAGAAATTCCCACTCAGCAATTCATTGATGCATTTCCTGTATGGACTTTCTTAATATCTTCTTCTTTTTGTTGTTGTTAAAGACAGAAAAAAAGCCAGTTGATTATATCCAATGTCTCGAAATACAGTGGCCAGTCTCTTCCACACCAAAAACATTTTATTTAGAACACAAGACTATTCCCATGATATTGCAGGAGTCCCAAAGACTTGAAGTCCAAGAACTTTTGACAAGAACTGAAAATGCAGAGGAACAGTAAATAACCTTAGCCTCATCCTGCAATTACAAGAAGGGTGACAGTGATCAAAGAAGAATTCCTTTCATTTACTGCTTCTTCTTGGCATCTGTCATTGCAAAAAGAGAAAATTTCAGGTGACTTTATTCTGTGCTTAAGGTTTTTCTCTATTGACCCCTTCACAGGTGGGAGATTGGGAAATGGAGCACCTGCAGTCTTACTTGTGGGGTTGGATTGCAGACACGGAATGTCTTCTGTTCTCATCTGCTGTCAAGAGAAACTAATGAGACCATCATTTTGGCAGATGAATTGTGCTATAAACCTAAGCCATCCCTTGTGCAAGCCTGTAATCGCTTTGACTGCCCACCATCCTGGTATCCTACAGAATGGCAAGAGGTAAGAATGTATGTGTAATCTCATTTTATGACAGTTAAAAGTAGCTACTTATGCATTATGGATGGAGCATTCTGCTTTAGCCCATCAAGAGGATTCATTAATCACTCCAAGAAGCCATTCAAAAACTGAAAAAGTTTGCCTTTTTACAAATGCATAATTTTCAGAGGTAAATAATGACTATACCTACTTCTAATGCAAAGTTAATGTAAATTATTCATATCTGGCTGTAGATTCCAGACAAAAATACATGGAATATAAGAGTCAGCTGCCATGAGTGGATTTGGGTTAGCAATGTCAAGGTTTCTAGGAATACAAAGCTATAAGGATCAAGAAGGAGAGAATCTCTAAAGCGTGTTGAGTATTCCATATATTCTCAAATAATAATTCAGTCCAGGATAGGAAATGATCCTCATCTTTCAGAGTCACAAATGAGTGTTAGGCTCTTCCCTATGGGAGATGGATACCTTATTTACCCTAACACTGAAAGTTGTTTCCTACCCAATGGATCTGTACAAGAATTTCCATCTTTGGAATGCAACCTGAAATGAGTTTGTTTGCTGCCATCTGATTGCAAATAATAACACTTGTGTAATTCAAAAAACCTTAAAGAGGCTTCTGTTGGATATAACATTGCACAGGAAGAAAGGATCCTGCCATGTCATCATGAGGGAAGGAAATATTTGCTGTGGTGGAGGTGCAAGCAAAAGGCCTATTTAAATCTTTGATTCTACTGGATGCAAAATTCATTTCATCCTATGAGAAAAATATGGTGCTTGCATATTCCTACACAGTCTCCATCTATAAACTCCCTCCTAACAGCCAGGGAGATGTTAAAGTACTTACTAAATGCAGTTGAAAAGTCTGTGAAGCTGTACTTATGGGTCAGCTCTGGGTTTGGGCAGCCAACCCAGTAGCAAAGATTTGTGTCACACTGACATTCTGCCGAATCTAGATAACTATCCTATAGCGTTAGTCCTATGTTTAAAAGAATTCAGTGATATTTCATGCTTTAATTTGTCTGCTGATGTTCACATACATGTATTTGCTTAGTTGTATTTTTGAATATTTCTAGCTATACTCATAAATGCTTTATTTGTAAATACCAAATAGTATTCTACTAGCACACAGCATAATAAAGGCATTTCAAAGTTAGCATATGCTAGAACGAGTGCCTATGCTCATTAACATCTTATAATTGGCAAAAAGTCTTTGCAGAAATAAATTTTCTGTAAGTTTATATGAACAATCAGAAGAGACATACGTTACAGCTTCCTGAAAAATTGATTTTCCTCTAACAATGACCATTTGCTATAAGCCATCCTAGAATGGTACCAAAATAGTTACGACTAGAGCTATTGTAAAACAGACATTTTTCAAAATTTGAAAATCTTCCTCAACTATGTGAATACGTATATTTCTGCCTGTCTAAAATAATGTTTTGGCCATTTTTTTCTCTGCTCTCCTACATGCTATCTTTCTGAAAAGTGTAGCAGATCTTAGGGAGGAGGGACCTCAATCAATTATGAAGTCTTTAATAAGCATATTAATCCTGAGTTTAATCAAGCTGCTCAGTTCACACCTTTTGTTTTAGCTGCTACCTTCTCTGGCTGGGTGGAGAGAAAGAACCTGGGTTGCAGGTCATTGCTGCAGCTTAACAAAGGTCATATCATAGCTCTGCTGCTCTTCCACAGGCTTTGCAAGCTGACCAGCTATGTCAGCTCCTCATCCCTTGGGCACTGAGTATTTCCTGTGCATACCTTTCACCAGGAGAAAACAGCACAAAAAATGTACTTTTCTACTTACTGGCTTCTGCCTCTGTTTAGATAAATATAGTGCAAGAAAAAAAAGCAAAACAAACAAAAAAAAAAGCCTAGTCCATTAAAATTAAGTTCCATTCTCTCAGTTTTTAAAGACATCTGTCTTCCTTCTTTACACCACCAATTCTGTACAGTTATTTCCATCCTGTAGAAAGCCAGGCCTCGCAGTTCAGTGTCACACGTTTCCCTTCGATGACCTCCATGTGAAAAGCTGCACCATCAGGAGACTGTGTTGCACTTAAGAATTACTACAGCTGTTGGCTCCTGAAATGTGTGAGGGAAAAGGTCATTTGAACAAGATGCAAGTGGCTGAGACTTCTCTTGGAGGTGAGCTCCAGCTATGCTGCAAAGATGCCATGGACCCTCCAGCAGAAGAAATTCTTTCTTTACATTAAGGGATCCACAACACCTCCCCTCTCCACAGATCCTTCCGAGGGTTTCCCACATACGGGAAGACAGAGGGCCATGTAGGCAAGTGCCCTCTTCACCCTGAGGAAGGTTATTTAAAACTTCACCAACACTGGAGGGTAACATCTGGTCGCCACGCAGCCTGATTTGAAGCCATTTCTTTGGTATCATCTGCGGAGTTTGTCATGCTCTTCAGAGCACTCTCATTCAATAGTTTCAAGCAAACAAACAAAACAAGATTTAAACTTAAGAAAGGGTTGTCTGACTTAAATGCCATTAGAAGCCCCAGTGTTCTTGGCAGATAAACACATGATAATTATCAGTGCTGTAACATTCCAAGCAATTTTTTAAATATCTCTTTACAGAATCAAGACTATTTATTTTTAAATAGTTCTTTTTCTTAGCTAAATCCATTAGGATGTTTATCTTGCTTTAAGTACTGTGCCTCTGGAGGGAAGTGGATATGATCTTTCCTTTTGTCATGGTTTAAGCCCAGTCGTAACTCAGAACCATGCAGCTGTTTGCTCACATCCCCCTAACTGCCCCCTCCAGGCAGGAGGGGGGGAAGAATTGAATGAATGCAAACCCCACAGGTTGAAATAAGAACAGTCCAGTAACTAAAGTACAATATAAAACTAATAATAATAATTACCAATATTGTTGTTGGTTTTGTTATGATTATTATTGTTATTATCATTATTATTATGTAAATAACGAGGGGAGACCATATAAAACTAAAAGGGGAAAGGAAAAAAAAAACATAAACATAAGTGATACACAATGTAATTGCTCACCACCTGCTGACCGCTATCCAGCTCTACCTGGGCAGTGATCGCCCTTCCAAGTGACTCCCCACAGTTTATATACTGGGCATGACGTGCTGTGGTATGGAATACCCCTTTGTCTAGTTTGGGTTGGGTGTCCTGTCCCTGCTTCCTCCCAGCTTCTTGTGCCAGAAGCATGAGAGACTGAAAATTCCTTGACCAGGGTAAGCATTGCTGAGCAACAACTAAAACATTGTGTTACCAGCATTGTTCTCAGACTAAAGCCAAAACACAGCACTGCACCAGCTACTAGAAAGGAGAAAAATAACTGTTGCAGCTGAACTCAGAACACCTTTCTACAGGTCCCTATCGATATCTACTCTGCAAACCTCGAATGGCAAACACCCGCTAGTAAATGGGTGGTTGCCCTCAGAAAGTTGGTCTCAACAGCTAGATGCCTATATGCAGATTGGTGACAGTTGGTGCTCCTCAGGGGACATTATTGGCACCAGTACTGTTCAACTCTTTTTTTAGCAACATGGACAATAGTATTGAGTGCATCCTCAGCAAGTTTGCCAATGACACCAAGCTGTGTGGTTCGGCTGATATGCTGGAGAGAAAGTATGCCATCCAGAGGGATCTTGACACACTTGAGAGGTGACCAATGCTAACCTCATGAAGTTCAACAGTGTGAAGTGCAAGGTCCTGCACATGGGTCAGGGCAATCTCAATTTCCAGCTTGGCAGAGACCAGCTGGAGAGCAGCCCTGAGGAGAAGGACTTGGGCATGTTGGTCGATGAGAAAATGAACATGAGCTGGCTTCACTGTGCGCTCACAGCCCAGAAAGCAAACCGTATCCTGGGCTGCATCAAAAGGAGTGTGACCAGCAGGTCGAAGGAGGTGATCCTGCCCTTCTACTCTGCTCTGCTCTCATGAGATCCCTGCCTGCAGTACTGCATTCAGCTCTGAGGCCCCCAGCACAGGAGGGACGTAGACCTGCTGGAGCAAGTCCAGATGAGGGGCACAAAGATGATCAGGGGGCTGGAGCACTTCTCCTATGGAGACAGGCTGAGAGAGTTGGGCTTTTTCAGCCTGGAGAAGAGAAGGTTTGTGGGAAACCCTACAGCAGCCTTCCAGAATTGAAAAGGGGCCAACAAGAAACCTGGTGAGGGACTTTTTACAAGGACATATAGTGATAGGACAAGGGGGAATGGTTTTAAACTGACAGAGGGGAGATTTAGATTAGACATCAGGAAAAAAAATTTCTCTATGAGGGTGGTGATGCACTGAAACAGGTTACCCAGAGAAAATGTGACTGCCCCATCCCTGGCAGTGTTCAAGGCCAGGCTGAATGGGACTTTGAGCAACCTGGTCTAGTGGAAGGTGTCCCTGCCTGTGGCAGAGGGGGTGGAACTAAATGGTCTTTAAGGTCCCTTCCAACCCAAACTGTTCTGTGTTTATATGATTCTACTAAATATTCATTGTCCTTTGGTTCGTTATTGAATTAAGCGCCATAGTTTCAGTCTCCGCATTTTTTTTTTTAGTTGTTTGGGGATATCTTTGCTCCAAAAATAATTATGCTCCAAAGATAATTAGAACAGTGGCTTGACAACACAGTAGCGTGGGAAAACAAGTAACATTTTCATATAGTTCCCTGGCTATTTTTCCTCAATATTGTAAAAAATCCTTTCTAAGTCTTCAAGTGTCAAGCCTTAGAAAGCAACTGGAAGACCTGCTGAGAAAAAAATTTAGTCCCTCTGCAGATGCTTTATCTTACTGTAGAGTAGTATCAGAGAATTCATTTTTGAGAGTAAGGCCAAAACTTGTACAGCTGTAGTCCCACCACCTTGAGCAAATGGCAGTGGAAGAGATGAGCATGGCCTGGGAAAGATGAGGAGTAGGACAATCCCTTCCTCAACTGTCCTTGTAAGCAGGACTACCATAAAATGACATACTTTCAAACACTCAGCTACTGCCCCAAACCAGTAACAGTTATCATGCTGAGAAACAGTTGTTTAGCCCATTATTTTTCATTAATAATTGCCTTTTTTCACAAGTTTGAAAGACACTAGCTTCCCTGCCTCACAAACAATAGAAATGGTGGTTTTGCCTGAATCCTCTTCCTTGTATGCATGTGTGTGGATGCTCATAGGCATGTGCTGAGGCAGAAGGATGTCCTGCTTTCCCTCTCTGATTTCAATGGTGACCATCAGTTCTTAATTTTACTTATCATTCACACATCGTTGTATGAGTGGGACACTAAAGGAATAACTACTGTGGGAGGTACCAAGGCCACCATTTCACCAGCAGTTTACAATGACTGCTACTAAAGGAGAAAATAGTTGCTGCTGGAATCTGTTTCTTGCCCTTACAACACCCATTCCTTTGTAGCTCCGGAAGTGCCATGCAATCACGCAACGGTCCTGGTTAAAGCTAGCCAGAAATATAATTAGTTTTAACTGAGATTAATTTCCCACATTTGTGTTCACTTCAGAGCCACACAAATACTTATGCCAGAATACGGGAAAAGGCAGCACAAAACCAGGAATGACTGGCTAGCAGACTTGGGTTTATGGGTTTTCATCTTTGGTGTCTGCCTTGACTTATGTTTGTTTAAGCTAATTGCTGAACTAGGCATAATCAGGGAGCATTGTGGGATGATGTCACTCTGGTAGTTGGTACCCTGTCAAAGTCTCAGATCCCTCATAAAGAAGTGTTAGGAGATACTGGGCTTGGCTCTGCTCAGAAGCTGTGGGGAGCAGGAATATCAGGAGACACAGTTCAGCCACATTTTACCTACTTGTGTGAGTGAGATGCAACCACCCTGTGATACAAGCACCCTGTGATACAGTACTTGTCTCTATTGTAATGGTGCTGTAGGATCATTTTGAACAGCAGAGCACATTAGTCAGATGGGAAATATTTGAGTGAGAATCCTGAAAAAACTACTGTTTCATATTTTCTGTAAACACAAGCAGATGTTGTTGTTATTGATTACCCCTTTTCTTGGAAAAATGCGAGGGCTGGAAGCTTGCACTACAGAAAAATCAGCAAAGACCCCAGGGCAGTGTAGGCTCCAGAGGTGAAATGTAAGTCCAGGCACAGCTGAAGTGCAGTAGTCCAGGATTGGCCTAGAAGAGTATTCTTGCAGAAAGGATGAATCACATTACTGCATTTGGCTCTCTCTAGCACTTACCAATAGAGTTTGGTGTTGAGTAGTAAGTTATTCTTCACAGAACAAAGTTGTGTAAGTGACTGAAGGGCAAGAAGCAAGAAAAGATCTATTTTATCATTTTATCTAGTGGCAATGGAAGGACATGAAAACTTCCTGAGATCTGACTGATTGACAGAAGGAACATACTTCTGTTGTATTCATACAATGACTAACCCATTTTGGCTCCTGTATGTGATGACAGTGGTAGGCAATCTTGCAGTAATACCTTTAGTCATATTTTTCTTGATTTACTCTCTCCTTAGGAATGAATTATCTTCAAATGAAAGGTTGATAAATGTTTTGTTGAAAATTAAAGTATTGTTTTACTTGCTTAATTTTTTTAACCCTTTGATCTTTGTAGCAGTTTAAGTAAGCAGGAAGAAAACTATTTTTATTCATTAGAGAGCAAACCCAGTGGAATATAAATATTTTTTTTCTACATTCCTTTTCTATCTTTCAAGGAAAATGCATATCCTAAATAAATAGGCATTAGTTCATGCAGCTCTGTCTATGTGAGAGAGAAGGATCCTTCATGACTGCAAGATTTTCTAAAACAGTCCCTTTTTAACTCCTTGAGTATAAGTTTTAATACTTCTTCATACCGTTTTCTGTTTTTCAAGCATAACTCCCATGTTGCAAGCTATAAGCAACTTCTGGTCACACCACTGCAGTGCAAGCTCCCCCTTCTTCTTTGCTAGGAGAAAAAGAGTTGAGCTAGCTGGACAGAGCAGCTAGTCCAGTCCAGCTAGAACTGGGGAGCTTTCATCAGTCTCAAGAAAAGGATCCTCAGGAGAAAGGACTGAGCAATCAAGTTTACAAAAAAGATTCAGGAAAGCTATTAAACCTACTTGTTCAAAACTTCCTGCCCTGCTTGGTTAGAAAATGGATACAGAAAGGGATATCTGATTAAAGAAAGAGGGGAGGTGGGTTCTCTTGATATTAATAATTCCAGTTCACTTTGGTGCAAATAAACCTTCCTCCTTACCTTCTGGAAAGAGTACACACTGCTGTCATGTCAGCCATAAGTATGAAAGAAGTGCCTGGATATCTAGTGGTTTATTATATTAATCTTATAAACCAGTTACTGAGATTAATAGCAAATTGCAGCTGACATACAGCTTCTGTATGAATTAAAAATCAGAGAAATGCCATAGTGAAAGAAGTGTTCAAGGACAGGAATTCTGGGCTTGACAGTTAAGTTTTGAGCTGCACCAGCAACAGACCTCATGCAGGTCAGAAACAAGAAACAAGAAAATTACAAAAAGAAGAAAAGGCAAAGTGATAAAGTGGGAAAATTTTTATTTATCACACTCTCAAATATCCATTTGTTTTCTTGCCAGTACACACCTTTTTTGAAAAGCTAAATTTGAATATGTAGTTCAGGCTAACTATTTTAGAAGTAGTTATCTAATATTCTTAATCAAATCTCAGAAATGCAGGTCTTGAATCATCTGCTGCTGGAGATGACTTTTCCACTCTCTTCAGCACTGTCAGTAGCACAGTCAAAACTCAGACAGACATATTAGGATGTAGATCTTCCACATGATGTGCAAGTGTCTCATTTTTCAGTTGGTGGTTACAGGAAAGGACAATGTTTCCATGTCTGTAACTGCCGTTCTCACCTATTGTTTCCATGTCTTTTGTACAAACATCTGAAAACAGAACACTTCAGAAATACTGAAGCAATTTTTCTAGATATTAGCAAAATACACTGCTTCTACTGTCTAAAATATTTTTGACATTTATAAAAGAAGTCTGCTTTGACATCTCTGAATTACTTTATATATATATATTTTCTACATGGCTAAAGTTGAGTGTTGATTTCTACCCAACTTCACAAGTAATATTTGCTGCAAGTTGCCATTGTGCGAGAGTGATGTGTGGCTGACTTTGATGTCCCACAGTGTTCACAGACATGTGGCAATGGTGTCCAGAAGCGAGATACACTTTGTAAGCAGCATCTGGCGGATGGAAGCTTGCTAGAACTGCCAGAAACCTTCTGCTCCACACCAAGGCCAGTTACCCAGCAAGTCTGCAAAAATGAGGATTGTCCCAGTGAGTGGTTTCTCTCTGACTGGACACAGGTATGCTATTTTTATGCATGAGTATTGTTCTGCTCTTGGTGATTAAGCTCCTCAATCATTTGGGATGGAGGAGTCAAATGACCTTAGACTGCACAAGGTGTGTTATTCCCAATTTTGCCCTGTAATCTGTCCCTATCATCCTGGTAGGGGATGTGATCACTAGCTCAATGTTATTGTTTGGAGATTGCATCCGCAGATGTGCTTTAGCAATCCAGCCAAACCATTAAGACCACCCTTCTGGCATAAACACAATCCATGCTCAAAACAATAAATCCCTGCCTCTGTCCATGACTATGCTTATGTTCATCCAAGGCATCAATGAATAGTAATCTTTACTCCCCCAGGCTAAATGCTTTTTCTTCCCAAAGGCTGGCTGTTCTGTTGTCAATAGCTTTTTCCTCTTGGAGCCTTCCCCTGTGATGCAGAGAAGAGAAGGAAGGGATTCCTGCAGTCTGCTATAGTCACATCATTACAGACTCCAAGCTTCCTTCATTCTAGGACACTGCTCTTGCAATGTTAGCTAGCTACTTCCTTCCTTCAATTTAGGGTTGGCAGAACTAACACAATGTACTGAATTCTCTTGCACTTTCCCAGGCTCCCTTTCTGGCCCCAACTGGCTTAAGAAAAAAAAAGATTATAACAGTGTAACTGAAAATATAATTTGACATTTAAATGACAGTAAACATGAAAATCATTCCTCATCTTGCAATCTCTGCCATCTCTCCTAGTTCTCTTTCATGTAAGGAGGTGGAAATTGATTTAATTGTGAAACACCAGTTACCTAACAGAGCTGTCCCACCTGCACTCTGTGTTGATCTATTTTGATATTTTACTCAAATAAGTAGATATTCCCATGAAGTCTGCTGCCAGGAGAAACATAGACATTCTGGCAGTGAAGATGGTAATTCTGTTCCCAAGCTGTCCTCCTTCATAAGCAGTTGCAATGTGATTTATGTTCTTACCTTTAATGTGTTTTCTCCACCTCACTTCATCTCCAATTCCTGTTGCCTATACCTCCTGCATCTACAGAAGTGCATGTGTATATTTGTGCTTCCAGCTTTACAGCACTCATCCCACTTTCCATGACCTTTACCGGCTGCTGTCTGGGTCCCAGTGCAATGCTGTATGCGTTATATACATATGATGCTATTATTATTATATAATTATGATTTATATACATATACAGCATATACGATGCTGTATACATAAATATAAAAAGAAATAGGCATGCTGAATTCCACTGAACAATGCCCATCAGTGCATTCTGCACCACAGGTTAATAGTAATTAATACTCCTTTCTGTATGATGTGTGGTAACTACCAGCCTGAGGTAACTCACTGGCATCTGAAACACTCATAGAATCGTAGAATCATAGAATAGTTGGGGTTAGAAAGGACCTTAAGATCATCTAGTTGCAAACCCCCTGCCGTGGGCAGGGACACCTCACACTAAACCATGTCACTCAAGGCTCTGTCCAACCTGGTCTTGAACACCTCCAGGGATGGAGCATTCACAGCTTCCCTGGGCAACCCATTCCAGTGCCTCACCACCCTAACACGAAAGAATTTCCTCCTTATATCCAAGCTAAACTTCCCCTGTTTAAGTTTTAACCCATTACCCCTTGTCATATCACTACAATCCCTAATGAAGAGTCCCTCCCCAGCATCCCTATAGGCCCTCTTGACCCTATGAGGTCTCCATGCAGCCTTCTCTTCTCCAGGCTGAACAGCCCCAACTTTATCAGCCTATCTTCATACAGGAGGTGCTCCAGTCCCTTGATTATCCTTGTGGCCCTCCTCTGGACTTGTTCCAACAGTTCCATGACCTTATGTTGAGGACACCAGAACTGCACACAATACTCCAAGTGAGGTCTCACAAGAGCAGAGTAGAGGGGCAGGATCACCTCCTTCTACCTGCTGGTCACACTCCTTTTGATGCAGCGCAGGATACAGTTGGCTTTCTGGGCTGCGAGCGCACACTGAAGCTGGCTCATGTTCATTTTCTCATCGACCAACACACCCAAGTCCTTCTCTTCAGGGTTGCTCTGAGTCTCTTCTCTGCCCAACCTGTAGCTGTGCCTGGTATTGCTCCGACCCAGCTGTAGGACCTTGCACTTGGCATGGTTAAACTTCATGAGGTTGGCATCAGCCCACCTCACAAACATGTCAAGGTCCCTCTGGATGGCATTCCTTCCCTCTAGCGTATCAACTGAACCACACAGCTTGGTGTCATCAGCAAACTTGCCAAGGGTGCTCTCAATCCCAACTCATCTATTTATTATTTCTTTATCAATTATTTGATTCAGGAATTTTCCTGCACCCTCAGGAATTTTGCAGATGACAACAATTTGGCTGCTGGTGATCTGCTGAAGGGTAGGAAGGCTCTGCAGAGAGATCTGGACAGGCTGGATCGATGGGCTGTTGCCACTGGTATGAGCCTCAACAAGGCAAAGTGCCAGGTCGTGCATTTGGGCCGCAGCAACCCCATGCAACACTCCAGGCTTGGGGAAGAGTGGCTGGAAAGCTGCCCAGTGGAAAAGGACCTGGAGGTGCTTATATACAGAGCCGAACATGAGCCAGCTTGTGCCCAGGCAGCCAACAAGGCCAATGACATCTTGACCTGTATCAGAAATAGTGTGGCCAGCAGGCTGCACCTCGAATCCTGTGTTCAGTTCTGGGTTTCTCACTACAAGAGAGACACTGAGGTGCTGGAGCAGGTTCAGAGAAGGGCAATGAACCTGGTGGAGGGCCTGGAGAGCAAGTATTACAAGGAACAGCTGAGGGAACTGGGGTTGTTTAGTGTGGAGAGGAGGCTCGGGGTGGTGGTGTACCTTATCGCTCTCTACAACTAGCTGAAAGGAGGATGAGCTAGAAAGTGGCTCATCTCTTTTCCCAAGAAACAAGTGATAGAACAAGAGGAAACAACCTCAAGCTGCACCAAGGGCGGTTTCGACAGGATATTAGGAAAAATTCCTTCACCGAGAGGGTGATGAGGTATTGGCACAGGCTGCCTAGGGAAGTGGTGGAAACACCGTCCCCGGAAGTGTTCAAAAAACATGTAGGCAAGGTGCTTAATGACATGGTTTAGTGATGGACTTGGCAGTCCTGAAGTAATGGTTGGACTTGATTATCTTAAAGGTCTCTTCCAAGCTAGTTGATTCTGTGATTCTGTGATTCTATAATTCTAATATATCTGCAACAGTAAAGCTCAAATACTAAGTTTAGGCCAGATTTTAGCAGAATAGGATATAGCTGTGAAGTGCAACTAAATGTGGTCTGCTCTTGGCTATGAGCAGGAGATCTTCTAGCCAGCACATGCAGGCATAACAGAAACAAAATGCAAAGACAAGCTTTGTACTGTAGCACAGTACCTTTGATACAAGGGGCACCATCTGAGAGGAAAATGTACTAAACGGAGCATGGAAAGATTCAAAGTCTCGGAAGACAGAAAATACCTGATATTTTGTCTCCCCACTCTGCCTACACCGTTTGTAACTGAATGGCTGGGTGCTGCTCTGCCTCATTCCACTCCAACATTTTGAAAGCTGTAACAGATCTATTCCATGGTATGAGTATACAGTGTGGATATGGGAGGTGAGGAGGTGTGTGTGACAGGAGCACCTTTTACTTTTAATACACCGTGTTCCTAATGTTTCTTATTCTGTGCCTAGTGTTCAGTGAGCTGTGGAGAGGGCACCCAAAGTCGAAATGCTATTTGCAGAAAGATGCTGAAAACCGGGCATTTTGTCATCATCAATTCCTCATTGTGCCCACCTTTGCCATTTTCATCCTTGATCAGGCCCTGTGCTCTAGGCACCTGTACAAGTAAGTGGAAAAGATGCTTAGGAATGCCTGGGGAAAGGGGGCTTGGATGTCCATCACTAAGAAATCCATGCTGTCACCAGTTTCAAAAACTCACACTAGTGTTACTTGGTCTTGAAGAGTGGCTGCTGCTGCTAAGTTTTTCTGTCTGTGAACAAGTATGCTTTAGTGATAAGGCAAGACAGTGGATGAGAGCTTTACATTTTACTGTTGGAGCTAGGTCTGAGCCAATATCCTGGGAGGGAGCTACTAATTTCTGGAAGAACTGGCTCAAAATTCTGACCCAAATCTAGGTCTAAATTTCACAACTGGAATGTAGAGGCTCAGACATACAGCAGAGCAGCCCGAGGGCAATTGCAAATAAACTCTGTTAGAACAGCTGAAAAGAAAATGTTTGATAAGGGATGTTGTTGAAGATATTTAAGAATGTATTTCATTATGTCACTTGGAACCCTCTATGAGATTTCTAATGAACCGTGCAACCTAAGTTAGATGTATTTTATGTTGCTATTTCATGCATTTTTTGTTGCCCTTCACAAGAGCAGTAGTTTCCCTGTATGCCTTTCCCTGGCTCACGAGCCAACTAGATGTGCAATAGTTTGAAAGTCAGCCTAGCTTCAGCTTAAAGCTGGCTATGAACTCTGAAACTGATAAATGTTGGATATGTTAAGGAGAAAAGAAGATCTGACATTCAGAAGCAAAGCTATGAAAAAATATTGCATGGTATTTACAAGTAATATATCTATGCTGCTTTATTTAGTGCTTCACAACAAAGATCTCTGTCATACAGATCTGGAAACTGGAAGGACATACTGAACTATTATTTAAATTATTTTAATATTAATATTATTTAAATTAATTTATTATTTGATATATTTATATAATATATTGCTATATTATATATTTATTATTTAAATTCATACTTAACATTATTTAAATTATTTTAATATTATTTAATATATTTTTAAGCCTAATCCAGACAATTTTGTTCTATTCAACATCATTCCTTGGGGAAGCAGCACTTTCACCTCCTGACTGCTGTGTGCTGCAAGACCATGTTGCCTTTGAGGGTTCAGATGGTAAATCACAGCACACATGTCTTTGCAATGCATTTATTCAGTAAGAGTATTCATTTAAATACTTTAATAACAAGAACATTTCCACAGAAGTATTCTCCCTCCCAAAAAGATTTTGACTCTTGCTCTCTGGTTTCTGCATGTACCCTAGGCAGGACTACTTTTGCATTCCTAAAGGAACCTTGTTTTCCTGTTATTTTGATTGCTCCGACTTAATGTTCAGCAGCTGGTGGCCAGTTTCTCCCACTATTGTCTAATAGGTTGAATGCTGCCAGCACCAAAGTAAACTGCTTGTTTTGTTTAATCGTATCACATACTAATAGAATTAATGATATTTCAGGGCACAACAGGCCAGTTCATAAGCAAAGCCCCCACATTATGGCCATAAAGAAAGTTTACATCCAGACAAGGAAGCAGAAGAAACTACACTTTGTTGTGGGTGGGTATGCTTACCTGCTACCCAAAACTTCTGTAAACCTCCGATGCCCTACAAGGAGGTTCCGGAAATCAATGATCACTTGGGAGAAGGATGACAAGAGACTCATCAGCTCAGCTCACATCACCATTACACCCTATGGGTATATCAAAATCAACCGTTTGAAGCCTTCAGACACTGGGACATACACCTGTACAGCAGGGCCAGTCCAGGAGTATTTTGTAATTAAATTAATTGGAAGCAACAAGATCATTGCTCAGCAACCAGCTGGTATTAGGGAAGAAGAAACTATGAGAAAACCCACCTTAAATGAAGCCTTGAGAACAGAGGAGAAACATATCAACGGGATTCTTTTCAATGGGAGCAAAGCTGAAAAGAGAGGGCACCTTGTGGACCCCAGCAGGTGGTATGATTATATTGTCTCAAGGCTGATGCAATACAGGGGCTGGCCAGGGGAAAATCTGGAGTCCTGGGAATCCCAGGAGTCCACAGAGAGAAACACATCTTCAGAGGAGGATCAGAGCCGAGAGTATAGCCTGCCATTTACTCTGATCACAGAACAGAAACGCTTGGATGATATCATAAGTAATTTGTCTCAACAGCCTGAGGAGCTTAAAGATGTCTACACTGAGCAGCTTGTTGTGCAGCTGGCTCATGAGGTTTTCAAGAGTCACTTAGAGCACCAGGAATCTGTTATCAAAGCATCAAGGAAAGGAGCAGATTCAACCTCGAGGGAGCACCCTGTCCACAGACATGTTTCTGGATTTACCAGCTCCCTGAGGACATCATCTGCTGAAGCATTCCTTCCTACCTCTGTAAACCCAGCAAATGGTTTGCGCAGACCTCATCAAAAGCCTGCCATCCTACGAAAGATTTCAGCAGCACAACAGCTTTCTGCTTCAGAGGTTGTTACCCACCTGGGACAGACAGTGGTCCTAGCCAGTGGCACACTGAGCGTGCTGCTTCATTGCGAAGCAGTAGGAAACCCAAAGCCCACCATCAGCTGGGCTAAGAATGGAGAGGAGGTGAAATACAATGATAGGTAAAACATATTCTTTAACTTCTTAAAAAATAACTGATGTTTTGGCGCTTCAATTTTCCTGTCAGTCCCACACACAAAAGCCTATTTTGCTACAGTTTGGTTTCATACTGAAAGAAGGGCTAACACACATGAAGTGGTAAACAGGGTGTTGTAACTCTTCAGCAAGGTCTGGATACTGGGTCAGTCTGGCAGACAAGAGCTTTACTTATAGAATCATAGAATAGTTAGGGTTGGAAAGGACCTTAAGATCACCTAGTTCCAATCCCCCTTCTGTGGGCAGGGACACCTCACACTAAACCATGTCACCCAAGGCTCTGTCCAACCTGGACTTAAACACCACCAGGGATGGAGCATTCACAACTTCCCTGGGCAACCCATTCCAGTGCCTCACCACCCTTACAAGAAGTAAAATGAAGAGTTGTAAAGTACTAAAGTAGATAATGCCCAATGCAGTCAACTCCATGTCTGGAGGCTGTGACCCTTAGTGTGTTTTCCCATCTGAAGGTGCAGATTTCTGCTCTGGAGATTGATTTTGACATATAAAAATTATTGTTTATTACTATTATCCTCTGGGTATCTCCTCATTAGGGGTATGAATTGCATTCCTCACAGTGCTTCAGCAGGGTCTGTCTGACATGGCTGTGGTAGCAGAAGATGAAGGGAGTGAGCCTTCTGCCTTCCACATGTGTATCTGTGTTAAAAATTGCCGCAAGACAAATCTCAGGGAGACACTTCAATCACCATTCCCTACGTATGTTCTCATCAAGACTGGAAATTGTGGAACCATACTTAACGGTTCTTTGCAGCTGTGCTGTCATCTCAACACACCAATTTCCAAGCATTAGTCTTCTGATATGAGTTGATGCATCCTGGTTTTTTCAAACTCATGTGCTTGCCTCAGGTGTACCCTGTAAACTTGAGTAACAAAATGCTTTTATCAGCACACCACAGAAATTATGCTGGTTTTCCTTCAGGTAGACTTTAGCTGCCTGTCATTCCACATTATTCGTTTGTGTGCAAAAGCACACAAAAAGAGATTATTTTCAATGCTAGTTATATGCATAACTGTGTTGATAACATAACATTTTTCCCATATGTATACTTGAGACTTTATAATTTGGTGCTGTTCTGTGAGAAAGGATAGGTAGAGAGTATAAACTGCCTCTTACAAGGCAGTTTTATTAACAAACACGGTACAACAAAATAGTCCAGGAATCTGCTTTCAGCTGTTTCTGCACAAGATACTGACCTCAGTTAAGGTATGTGAATTTACTCATAAGGTCAGCTTGTGAAATGAGAAAAGATGGAGTCAAGGGAAAAATTTCCAGTGTTTTGTCTGTGGGTCATCCCGTAAAGTCTTGACTTAGGTACAATCACTTGTTCTACTGAGTTATACAATTGGTTTATTGGCTCCTTTCTCACTTTGGCAACTGAATCTCTCCAAAATCACTGGGGTTTTTGAATGTACTGAATTTCCTGGTTCTTGTCTCTCAGTGTCTGAAGGCTAGTAAGCATGTTAGGTTTAGCACAAAAAATTGTAAATTTTGCAGCGGGGCACACTTAAAGCAAGAATGTATCTCTTGTGGAAATCACATGCAGTCCTAATCAAGACTTGGGCCTGTAGTATCTCTTTATTTGGCCATATTCCTGTCAAAATATCTTCATGGCCCCCCAAAAGTTTCACATATAGATTCTCATTGCCAGTGAATTTTGCCATTAAAGGACTTTTTTTTTTCCCCTCTACTTGAAATAACTTTGATTTCTATAGTATGCTTGAAAGGGAATAGAAGTTAAATAAAGTCCACATGTGGTTAATGATGGACACTATACATGCACACCATATAAGCAGCCATGGTGTAGCAACAGGCAAATTCATTTAGCTGACAATAAAAGTCTTACAGTTTCTTAAATTTTAGTTTAGATTTTTATTTTATTTATTTGTTTTGTTTTGTTTTATTTTACAATGTCTTTCAGTCATTTTCTTTCCATTTAGTTTGGCTGAAATATTATTAAATGCTATGTTGTATTTCTGAATTTTCAAGCAACTATGTGGTTTAAAATTTCTATCAGAAAGACTCAGGGAATTATAGTTTGTTTGCTAGTCAGTAATGCTGTTCATTGACAACTTTTCTTTAAAGGTTAAGGCAGTTTCCACTTTATGAACTTCCTTCTGTGTTCATCACTTATGATTCTGCCAGGTTTGTGGGTGGGGAAGGAAGTGAGCAGTACTGTGAGCTCCAGAGGTACTCAGCATCTGTAACATTGGAGTTAATGTTTAGAAATCATGGTGCATATATAATTGGGTTGTAGATGTTTTACTGGGTTCTTAACAGCAGTATTCTGGTTTTGGCTCAGAAAGCTCTTGCTGGCTGCCAATCAGTTGTGTAGATGGAAGCCATGGTTTCAGCAGTCTCACAGTGTACTGCTGTATACTGCAAGACCATCTGGATGCTGTGGTGTTTGGTATGCTTGAGCAGTCTTTCAGGTCTGCAGCTTGTCTTCTTCATACTTTGCCAGCCACTGAATGGAGAAGAGAAACCAGTTTTCCAGCCAACCTCTCTCTTAATGCGAATAAAAAAAATATATAGATGGGCCTTTCTGTACTAGCGTCAAAGAGGGGCACTTTTGGTGAGGAATGTCAGAGTTTTGTTGAAGTCCTTTAGCTTATGCCCAACTCAGTATAATGAGATTCTCAATGTATCTGTTTTGCATTGTGACTTTTAGAATGTAGGCTGCTAGATTTAGGTTGTGTGATAGCTATCTGTATTGTGTATTAACAAATATTGAGATAAGGGCACCCACATTTATGTTTTGTGGCTGTGGACTTCGTCTAGAACAGTGATTTGGTAACAAATGGCTCTATTCCTATCACCTCCTTCCATGAGCTGTTCTACTCACCTGAAAGTATTTGACTCCCTCTATGTAGCTCCACTTGTGAAACTTACTTAATTTCTTTAATTATAGTCTAGGTATTGTCACTAAAAGATATAACACAGGCCCCCCAGAAAAGTGTTTGTTCCTCAATAGAATGAAAATGTATGACACAAAAATCTTCAGGAGTTAAACATACCTGTGTGGTTCCAGTAAAGGATCCTTGACTTGAGTCTGCATGTTCACCCTGAGTGCATATTCAACATGAGTGTCCATACTCTCTCCTAAGGTTAAAGTGTCAGATTAATAGCAGCATGGGTTCTGAGTGCAGCTTCAGAACTTCAGAGCCTCGTATCTATACCAAAGTCTGGAGACATCTGTAATGATGGAAAATGTTTACTTTGAAAGAAAATCCAGATTAGCTTCTTTAGGAATCCATTTTAAAAGTGAAAAATTTTTGAGGGATTTATGCATTTTTTAGTAAGCCTTCCAAGAATGCCATAATTTTCATAACTATGAACCCATTTTTACTGGATAATTCAACTTTTCTGAAACAGAAATGCATTTTATAAGTGGACATGAAGCAGAAGGAAAACAGTAGGTGATACAGAGTTAAGTGTTTGCAGGGTGTCATCTGAATTACTCACTGATGTATGTTCTGTAAAATACATTTTTGTCTTGGAAACAATGCAGTGTGGAGCAACTGAGATGAAGCTGATTAAACATTAAGCTGTATTATTTTAAGTACAAAAATGAGATTCTGAAGACAGGCTGCTGACAGAAAGAATTGCTACAGCTGGTATTTTTTTCACCACTGACAAGCAACTCAATACCTAACAAAAACAGCAGTCAATGAGCAAATAGGGGATCCAGCCAAAATCATTCTATACAAAGACAGTTAACATTTCTGCTTTCAAGAAAAGTGGCTATGCCAAATTGTGACACACAAATATCACACAAATATCAAAAAGAACTACAGAAAAGGACACTGGCTTTGTTTCTAGAGAAGGACATTAAAACTTGGGTTGAAAATTTAGGAAGATGGCGTTGTGTTGTAGTTATGGTCCCCTGGGTTTTGCAAGATGCAGTATTAAGCAAGGTCTTTCCTCAACCTAAAGGTGACAGAAGCAATTAATAAAATCTTTTTTTAGGGGTTTGTAGGTATTAGTTTGATGTAGAACTGACTAATCAGCTTACATACTATATTTGCACACATGCAGGGAGAACACACACAGCCTTCAACTGTTACACACTAGTACAGTTTGGGACAAATTTTGAAACTCTAATGAATTCCATGTAGAGATTGAATCAGTCAGTGTTAAACCAAAAGATTTATGTGTGAGATAGTAAAGCATACTAAGACTGGTTTTGTAAATAAAGGAATTTGTTAGTTGCTGGCTTTATTAACAGTGGTTAAATAAAAGCATGCTTTGTTTATGAATAAGTGGTAAGAAGGAAAAAATCCTTGAAAGCAGAAGTGGGGAGGGAATTCTTTCAACCATTGTTCTGTTGGGTTTTTTTGCTGTGCAAGCAAAAATGCATTTTTTAAAATGGTTAATGTTTATTTAGCAAATGTGCATTTTTCTAGACACTTGCAAAACTTGCTTGACAAAAGGCAGCTCTTTACTGATAATAATTATTATTATTACTCAAGAAAGGTCAAAAAACCAAATTTTAACTCTGGTTTTTTTTCCTATAATAGATTATGATGGGTGGCCCTAACCTGGTTTGTTTTAGAGACCTACCACCCACAGTGTTGTGCAAGATCAAGTATCTGCTTCTTTCTGGGCCGTGACACAGCAGTTTTCACTTGGGGGTAGGAGAGGGTGGGAATGGAAAGAAACTCATCAGTTTCAGGATCTTTGAGCAGACTTTTATTGCATGTGTTTTACAGGCATACCCCTCTCCCACTTTCACCTTTGTCACTATCAATCACATCTTCAACTAAGAGTTTACATACAACAGCTACTGAAAGTTGCTGATAAGGAAATTGATTTATCATTCATTCTTAACAACAGTTTCAGCTAAAAAATTAAGAGAAAAGAAAAATAATTATGAATGCACCATACTGGAAGTAAAGGTACATAAGCATTCACAAGAGCCCATGGAATTAATTCTTGCTTAAACAGGTATACATCAGGACCTGATGGAGTTATACCACTGCAGAACTAGACTGTGAAACGAAGCAGTTTATTAGACTTCTAAGGCCATATACATTCCATTTAACCATGAGCAATACACGGAGATCACAGTAGGCTTCTCTTACTGGCAGAGGAAAGAAACAGTTGGTTTAGCCCAAGGAGGAGCTGAGTATTCCTCTCTGTCTCCACTGACTATTAGGGGAGCAGTGAGGCTGCTGAATTTGTGCAAACTGCAAAGCAATCAAAGAATTTGGAGCCCATTTCAGGCTTTGACACTGAGCCTGTAGCTCACTTCACTTCTTTCTGCCTAGCTTCTGCAGGGTTTGTGATATTTCCCTTGCAATAGTTCAGCTTTTCTTTTTGCTATTGCTACTCATAACTTAGAGAACTAGGAGACAGGAAGGCTAGGCAGCCCTTTTGACATAATGCAGGTAGTGACATAGGAGAGGAAGAGGTTTCACAATCCATGGGCAGATATCCCATGTACTCAGCAGCCTTTCTGTAATACACATATGTTGGGAACGAGACTAAAATTGAATTTAACTAATCACAGCTCATAGTCTCCATGTAAGACTAAATTTCTTCAAAGATTTTTAAATATAGCCCAAAAGCCTGAACAAAAAAAAAAAAGTAATATATTCATGCTTACACAAACTAAGGGACCATTATGTCTTTCTTTCTGCTTTACTCCAGGATGCTACTTCAGCCTGATGACTCCTTGCAAATTCTAGCACCTGTGGAAGCTGATGTGGGTTTCTATGCTTGCAATGCATCTAATGCCCTGGGATCTGACTCCGTCTCTATTGCCATTACTCTAGCAGGTAACAGTTCGCTCTCAGTGATTGCAGTATGGTCACTGCCGCTTGCGTGATCCTGGGCAGAAACTGCAGGGGGAGAGATTGCGGTTGATGCTGGGTGGGCAAGGTGCGTCAACAGACACACATTGGTGAAAACACAGGGTGTGAACTCTGGAAAACCCTGAGCTATAAAACCCAGCTTTCTCAGACGGTTCCTGAGATTTGCGCATTTCTACAAGAGATGAATGCTTTTTCTCACTTTCTGCATCTGACATGCTCTCAAGACAGTGTTTATGCTGGTTATTCACAGCCTATATGGGCAGTGCAGTGAAAATCACGGAATTTGTATGCTTCATTTTAAACCTATTGTTGATCTCTTCAAGTCCAACTGACTGATTGAAGAACTTGCTCAGATGTACATCGGGCAAACCTAAAAAATAGCAGAGCTGAAGACCTAGCCCCTTGCAAGATCAAACCCTGTATCATATTCAATCCATTGTGGCACAGGCATGGCTGACACTGTTTCAGTTGCTGGCAAGTAGAGGTTCACAAAAAATTAACTTCTGCATTTATATTTCTCTAGTAATGGTTGAGCTCTAAAGCAGACTAAATATCTTTTGTTAGTTTAGATTTCAGTTCTAGAGAAAACTCACCCAAATAAAAGTCAAGGGAAATGGGAGGTAGTGGAGGAATCCAACTTCAAGGTTCATTGGTAGGCAATTATCAGCAGGCTCACAACCACATCAGGACTAGCAGAAGGAAAGAGCAGCAAGTGTGAATAAGGACATGTTGAGTAAGACAAAGGAACAGAAGACGTAGATAAGGATGGTGACAAGAGAGAGGGCTTTGAGGGGGATCCTGTTTATCACAAAAGCAAAAGGAAACACATTACAAATGCTAGAAAGCTCATTGATTTTTCAGCCCTCTTCATTTCACTGATCCAGAATGTGGAAATATCTGGAAGCCTCCAATGTGCAGGCAGTGACCAACAGCTGCCAATATATAGATGTATGGTTAGAGGAATTAATAGATGTTGATGAGCTTAACATTTTTACACAAAATGCAGAGAAAATTTCAGGTTAGAGGAGGATAAAGAAAATCTAGGAATGCAGCAATGGCCAGCAATGAAGCTCTAATGATTAGTAAACCAACTGGAAAGGGACTTTTTCTGTCACTTAGGAAAAAAAAAAAAAAAAACTGGAAAACTGAAACCGTCTTTAGAGGGATCAGGAGTGGGGCTGAAAGCTTATTTCATTGAAGAATTTTCTGATTAGTTTAACACACGCATGAAAAAAAGTGGAAAATGCATCCACTTTTCTCAATGGTTTGCTTCTCATTTGTGGGCTGGACAGCTAAAAGATTTTTAATCTTTTTATGTGATTGTGGAAAACAATTTGGAAAATAAAAGGCTGATGAATACCTGAAGAATTTTACTTTCTTATCTTTAGGTCTTCATGCAAAGCATCAAAAATTTTGGATATATTTCAACAGTAAAATGTAATATTTTACTTTGCTATTCTTAGGCATTAAAAGCATCAAAAGAAAATACCAAAAAAGCTTGAATTGATATGACAGTAATTCCAGATGAAAGGCATCTCTTCAAAGCCCTGGAAATATAGATATATGGAATAATTTATAGTTAGAGCTGAATTAAATTTTCAGGACTCTCTATGAGCTCAATGAAACCAAATGATTTTTATTTCCTTCATCTTTTCTTCCTTGATCACCTCCAGCTCAACACACTAAAAAAGCCAGTGGCAGACATTAGCCTAAAACTGCTCTTCTACAGGCAAATGATGATATCTGAACCTCTTTGTGTCTGACCATTTATTTAAGGGCAGGGGGGGAGGGTGGAATGTGTTTATAGATTTTTGGAGAAAGATGAGTTTGCAAGTCTTCTTACTTTAGCCATTCTAAGAAAACTTTATGGTTATTGTCTGGTCTTCCCAATCCAAGTGTTTCTCCTGTAGGTTAAGGAAAACACGATGGATTTGTAGAAACAGCTTGCATGTTGCTCTAAACCTCCTGCACTATTAATGTGCCTGTAGCTATCACTCCTGCTTCTTTTTCTTGTGTTTGGCCTTTGGCAAAGGGTGGTATTTTGGTTTTAGTACCAGCAAACATCTTGCTGCAGTTTCAGTTATACCAGTGTTTATTGATTCATATGGTTCTCATGTGTGTCCATGAGGCTTTAATGCTATTCTGCCTTTTTCCATGGACTTTGCTGACACTGTATTATAAATAATATTATAAAGCGAAGGTGTCCTCATACTCCAGCATTTTCCCTTATCCACCTGTACCGTGTAAGTACTTTCACACAGAGTGTATCAGACCATCTGTCCCATGAAAGTCCACTGTGCTTGATCTGATAACTGTGGTGCTTCTTTTATGCAGGAAAGCCACTGATAAAGGCATCAAGAGCTACTGTGATCAACACTGAATCTCCTGCTGTTACTGTTGATATTGGAAGCACAGTGAAAACAATCCAGAGAGCAAATGTTACCATTAGCTGCCAGGTTGCAGGTGAGAAATTTTTTGATCTCCCATGAAGCTGCCTTTGGCTATAAATTTCTGTGGTGTTCTTTGCTGAATTGGTGTCTCCAGAGGCAGCGGGGTGAAACTGAAAGTTTTTCTTAGGACTTGGGCAAACTTCATTGCTTGCATTAATTCTTAGCAGAGAAATAGTTCTCGCTTTATCAATACCAACAGGAAAAGTGTAGTGGCTTAAGAAAATTGGTCTGAGACAGTATAACAGACATTTGTTAGAGATACACAGTACGATGTGAATACAACGAATCTGATACACATTCCTACCTGTTGGGGATGTTTGGTGAGAATATGTAAGCATGGACCCGACTCATTTCAATGTTGATTGAGTTCTCAAAGTCCATTCAGGTTAGTTCCTTCTTTTCCTGCCAAACTCTGATTTTTTTTTTTAAATTAGGACATGTTAGTACACTCGTCTTCTGATTTTTCTTTTTTCACCTTGGGAGTGCAGGAATTTGGGAGAATTCTGCTGAAACAGGGTTCTCCCTGAAACTGTTTTCCAGACAGAGACTGAATGTCCCTCAATCTCGTAACAGTAGTTTGCCTCTTTCTAGTGGTGACCAATCTGCGTGTTGCAGTCCTATGGTTGTTGGTGGCAATGGTCTGTATGGAGAGGAGGGTAAGGGAAAAGAGAGAGAGGGGAAATCTCTAAAAACCCAGGGCCAGATCTTCGATTCATTATACTTTTGTACATCGTATGAGTGGGAACAAAAGCGGGGGGAATCAGCTTACAAAACACAGACTGAGCAATGCTGAGTGTTACATGAATATCTGCATTGGAGATATGTATGGAGTAAACTACTAGACTGATATCAAGTCCCTTAGACCCTTGCTTTAGCTTCTTGTCCTTAGCAGCTACTTCAGATGACTGAATAAGCATCTGCTCTGCAAATATACAGATGTCCTTCTCTTTTACACTTCCTGGTCGCTGTAATCACTTAGTGGTTGTCAGTTTTCTTCTTCAACTGCTGCCAACCCCACCCGTATGCAAATACTTGAGTGAAAAAAGTATTTGGCTCAAGTTTCTTTATTTGTTCATCTGTTTTTTAACAAAGCATGCACAATAGCTGTGCAAACACTAGGCTGGGATCCCAATTTACTAATTAGGCTCAGTGGGATTAATGAAAGAAATATACAGTATTATTTCTCCTAGTAATTCACTAGGGAGTGAATTCAGTAATTCTGTTGCCCTCTCAACACAGACAGTAAACACTTTCTTGCAATCAGACCAATGTCTTTCAAGGAAGAAGGAGATGAAAGCTGTTCTGTTTTTCCCCAGGCCCCTAAATGGCCAGGTGCACTGGAAGTGTTGAAAGAGACTAAGTATTATAAAGACATAAATTATTTTGGATTTCTGTCTTTGGGTTCTCTCAGCTGCAGATGGGGAGGCCCCACAGATGTAGACTGTGATTGCTGATTTAAGAAGTACAGCCATTTCCCATCAGTATAAAGACATAATGAAAAGAACAGGATACGGCTGAGCAAAGGTGCCATAGCTCTTACAGAATCAGAAGACTACAGCAGGGGACCACAGTATGGTCGGGGCACAGATTCAATGCCTTTTCTGAGAGGAAAATAATCTCTAGCAATTTTATGAAGCCAACCTACTATGACAACGTGTATCTACAATGGAAAATTTTAGTACTGTCACAGCAGAATCACTCTCTTCACTCCCAGAAGGCGGCTTTTTGATATCTAGTAGCATTATGTATATTGGATTCTTTGGTGATTCAGGAGAAATTTGCCTAAATCATAATTGTCTTCATGGGTGTTTATCTTCTGCTTCTGCAGAAAATGTCAACTGTGTCTGACACCAGAGTTTACTATTGAAATTTTGATTAATTTATAAATCACAACCTGTGATGTTGCATAGGCAGTAATAGAGTGGATAATGAGGGCCAAAATATTTTATAGGCACTAGAATCCTATTTTCATACAAATACTGCTGGTAATTCAACAGCAGTAATTTAAAACAAACAAACAAACAAAAACTGCATTTGGGAAGAGATCCAGGAACAGGGTGATTTTGATCAACAGTCTCTCCTATGCCTGGAAAATATACCATTAATAAAATCTGTTGAAGAATATGAAAATAAATGTCATTTTCCTTCTGTTTTAAGCACTTTTTTGTTTAGCATCTGGGTTTTGATTATTCAATCTTTTAATATGTTTTTACCATTCTACTTAGAATGATCAACTCTAAGGAGAAAAGTAGCATGCACTATTGCTTTAGTCAGCAAACGTGTCGTATCCTAATGACTTCTTCAGAGTAGATGAATTTTACAGCTATGTGGCTTGCCAGAGTTCCCCAGAAGGCATTAACAGTGAAATAGCCATCAAATCACTGTAAGTTAAAATGCAATAGTTAATGCAATAACATATCTGGCAATATGTTATTGCATATGTATCTTTACAAAAGAAATTGGATTGTGAGAATGAATTTAACACAATTCAAAAGCTAACTAACATATCCAGTATTATGTGCAGACTATCTAGATGAAAAAACTTTTCACACAACTTTGTAAAGCTGTAGTCTTTTTCTTCCTACTACTTTCCCTCTAGTCATTTCAGGATGCCCTGGGACAGCACAGCAACTGAGAGTTGTTCCAGATCAGAATTTGGCACCTGTTAATCTCATCATAATAAGCTATGTTGCTATCACTGTGGTGCATTGTCTGTAGTACAAGATAATGCATGTACTGGATCTCGATGTCTTGGCTCATATAAGGACACATATTTACTGAAAGTCAGCAGGACAGCAGAGTAAATATTTATAAGAGCAATAAGTAGCATAAGGATCAGTTATAACATTTTCTAAAGCTGCTTTTGCTGTTAAGGGACAGAAATATACACTTGCTGCTGACAGGTGTTGATAAGCCTTGGGAAGGTTTCTTAAAAACAAGAGATAATGAAAGAGAACATTACCAGTGCCTAGGGAGTAATTATATATTGCTTTTTAACTTTTTATGAAAGCCATAAGCACTGTTAAAATCTGTGTACTGAGCTGAATTCTGTATATGTTTGCTGTGGGACAAGTGAAAATAAAATCATTCTGAATGTATTAGAGTTCAATTGGCCCCTGATATAAATAATGTCAAGGATGAAACTCTGCTTTGGTCATACGACAAAGATGGTGCTGTGATTTTCTTCAAGCTTGAAAATCAGTCTTATTTCACTTAACATAACGTTGCCATTTTGTCTGTAGAAGTGAAAGAATATTTTTTTAACATGGTTAAGTGATTGTGGTCAATACAGACTTCTCCAAAACTAATTCTAGAGGAACTCCCAAGCAAAAATCACTCGGAAGTCTTACATGTGCTTGTGACTGCCACCTGGAGGTTTTTCTCCAAGCTTCAGAAAGCCAGCATCACTTCTAGTGCGGGCAATTTGATTGCTGTGTGCAGCTTCACTTCCAAATGGGAGATGGGAGCAATTTGGATTACATCAGTATCACTAGGAAGCTTTCTGTTAACTTTACCACTTGAATTGTGCAGGTCCTCATTCAGATACCAGAAGCCTTAATCAATCTGGCCAAAGCTGTTGTTGAAAATACAGCTGGACATGAAAGGGCGAACCAGTTTTTAAAATCTAGTTCTGAAGACATTTCTCAGTGGTATCATTCAGGCTGTAAAACTTCTAACAGAAGCACCTGTATGCAAAGTGTCATAGCTATAGTCACTGTTAAATATTGTTGACACTATATATTGAGACTATGTTATATAGCGTCATATATTAAGTCGCTGTTGAGTCAGAATGCATTTGGAAGAGTGACTTAAAAGGTATTAACACCCTACCCTGTATATCCTTCTCTCTCTGATATTTCATCTTGAAGGTTTTTCAACTGTCCTAAACATTGCTTTCCTTTGTATTTAATCTATGCTGGATGTTATATTTTTCTAGTTATTACCTTGCTTTATGACCCATATTTGTTCATCAGCTAGACCAGATTGTGGCATGCAAGTCACTGTTTCAAGAATATTGTGGCACTGAAAACAAGTCAGCACTGCTAGATACTTGTATTGTTATGCTTCCTTTCCCAGAAAGCTCCTAGTTTAACAAAATTGTCTTAATTGGGATATACAGTTCTGCTTGCTACATATCCCAAGTAGCCTTTTTGCGCTGGATACACCCACAGTGATGGAGGAGAACGCTGAAGAATAGGCTTTGGTAACTGTTTACTACTTAAAGTCTTGGCTGCCTAGCAAGGTGAATTTTCTTTCCAGATGGCAGCTGTCAGAGTTTCAGTCTGTCTGATTGGATTGTTTCTGTAAGGCAACACACGCAGACGTCTGTCCGCTGTCATTCACCATTACCCGACTGATTGAAATGCTCTTGCTACCCCTTGTGGTAATGCTGCGCAATGATGGGTTTGCTCATCCCTCTGCTGACTGCCTTGCGGTTTGTGTCACTAAAGGTGGAAGCAGAAAAGAAAATGAAGTTGCTGTTTACTGACATATATTGCCTATCTTCCATAAACCAAAACCTAGGAACAGCTGTACAGGTTAGTTTCAAATAATTTCCTGTTAGTGTGAAAACCTCACATTAAAGACAAAGGAACAACACGCTTTGTAGAGTAGCAGTCAGAAAAAGGTATTTGTATAGCTGCTGGACATTCTGTAGGTACAGTGCACCTTTCCTACACTCAACAGTAATACCTCAAACAGTAAGAAGTCTTACCTTTAACCTCTTGTTGCTACTTCTGCTGCTGAAGTGTATGTAAGAGGAACCTGTCTTTCTGGACTAAGCAGCTGTTTTTAAGAAGCAATTTTTTTATTTTTTTTTTCTGCCTCTCTGTATTTATTCATGTGTTTGTTTTGAGTCCCTGCTCTTGAGGGCTGTGGGCATATGAAATCCTTATTGTATATTTCTCTTCTTCTTTACCCTTCTCAGCACTCCCCATCCCTTCCTTTTCTCCCACTATTTGCATTCCTCTTCCATTATTTTCAAAAAGAACTTGAGACTTCTACACAATTTTAGTCTTCAGAACCAAAAAAGAAGATAAGCCCTGGCTGGAATTAAAGAAAGCTTTATAATTTTATAATCTTGTGATTATTTCTGAGATACATTTCTTTATATTTCCATGCCTAAGTTCACAACAGCCATAATGTGAAAATCTGTGTGCCCTAAGTAGCTTAGGCTTCAAGAGAGGGAGTATCATCCCTTCTCTAGGGAGGCATTGGGAGGGCTAGTGCTGGGATGTGGGTTTTTTTCCATCTGAGGGACTGCAGAACTGGTACAGTTTCCATTTTCTCTCCTTTGTTCTAGAGAGCTCACCTCTCAAAATGCCTTTCCCCACAATGGAAACACACTAAACAGGCGTGAATAAACCCAAGGGTTGGGGTTGTTTGCTACCCAGTGGTTTTCTAAACTACCCTAAGGACTCTGTGTGGATGCTCTGGAAGAAATTTGAGTGAGGTTTAAAGTGATGGTCAGCCCACCCACACCACATAGGTCAAAGAGTAACAGCCACATAGGGAGCTGTGTAGTGGTCCTGTCCCAGCAGGTGGTCAGAAACAGGCCAACAGCTCATCCTTTTTAGAAAAATGAGTTGTAGCAGCACAAAAGTGAGTAAGACTTTGGAAAACAGTGTCATAGACAAGAATGATCAGTTCCCTGGGTATGCCATGGAAATCCAGATTAGCATGTGCTGTTAACCCTTAAACAAAAGAGAGAAAAACCCTCCAGTCTTTTACAGGCTGCTTCCTGATACTTTCTGAATATGGACAAGACCCTCTGTCCTTACAGGGCTTCAGTTCTCCTTCCTCACTGCCAAGCTCAGACGTACTTATTCCAGATGTCTTGGCAAAGTCACCAGGTTACTCTGGGAGAGGAGGAAAAAAGGCCACAATGCTTTGATGTAGAAGAATACAGAAAATCTCTTTTTCCCACTTCCATCTGCACATTCTTAGTGAGACACCTGCAATCAGGCAGTCACTATTAATACAGAAAAATGGGTGGTCGTATTCAGTGAGCACAGCCGACTGAGGTATTTCTGATGCAAGGGCCACACAATTGATAGAGTAGGTTTGGGGTTTTTTACATGGAAGCTCCATCAGAAAGATGCTAGAAATGGGCAGAGGAACATGTTGCTGTGACATAAGGCAGGGAAGGATTGAGGTAGGTACCAGATACTGAAGAATAACTTCCTGTATGCATGCATGCATATGTACAGCAGACACAAGGTAGCTGCATGTCTGTGTAAAAGAGATTAATTGCCTCCACATACAGAGGGCGCCACAAATGGGAGATCATGCACTCCAGCAGTTACCGGGATTAGTAACATTCTACTCGTTACAGCCATGGGCCCACACAGTATCCTCCCAGGCATAGGTCCATACGTCTGTCCCATCTGTTGAGACTTTCAATACCCAATTTTTAGTAGCTAGTGACACCAAATTACCTGATCTAGTATGCATTTAAATCAAGCTAGAAATCCCTATGTGAAGAAAATGCTATCTACTGCAAGACCAGGGGTCTTGTCAGCTATACATCACAATCTATTCCTACAAGAGATTACTCAAAAAAGATAGCTAGACCTTATTTCCAAGCACACAAAAGGAGGCAATTCTTCCTATAGTGGATTATGAATCTGTAACAATCTGTTTTCTGAAGTTGCCTGGTGAGACCAGTGAAACTGCTTTTCTGAAGATGTAAATTCTAATTGTTTACATAATTGGAAAATGGAAGATTGGATTAATTAATAAAAGGAAGTCTATGAAGAGCTCCTAACTACACAGAAACTATTTCTGGCTCAGAAAGTTCCTGAGCTGAAACTAATGTGGGGCTGGGAGAGGCACCATCTTATGGCTTCTTCCAAAGACAGGATACTGGGATAGATTGAGCTTGTTCTGATCCAAAAGAGGTTTGTTTTTAAGAGTGGTGAGTTCAGAGTTCAGGTGTGCAATTCTGGGACACTAAAAGGGAAAACTTCAATTTAGTCTTAGCTTTTCTTCTCTGTCTCACAGGGGTCTAAGAATGATAAAGACAGGAAATGTGAAAGAGCTGACTAAACACTTCTGAACTGCAAAAAATGAACATCACTTCCTTGGAAATCATGTTAAAATCTCATTTTATTTGTTCTCTTTTAACAATTTTGTCTGTGGCAGCCATAGTACCTTACTTGTGTTATGTTTTGTCAATGTTTTTCCAGGTGTTCCTGAAGCAGAAGTTACTTGGTTTAAGAACAAGGTCAAGCTGTCCTTTGCTCACCATTTGCATGATGGGCTGCTGCTAATTCCAAATGTTTCTCTGTCAGATCAGGGGTTGTACTCCTGCAAGGCAGCCAATCTTCATGGGGAGGTAACTGAAAGCTCCCAGCTGTTGGTTCTTGGTAAGTCCAGGGTATCTTGCACTTGCAGCAATAGTAAGATACCTGCTGGCACATCTAGCCTGCAGAACTAGCCAGAGGATGTAGAAGAGGGGACGGCATAGAGGCAGCCCAGTCCTAAGGAAGTAATCAGTCTGCATTTGTTCTCTGAGCAACATCACTTGAAACAAGGTGATAACAAAAGGAAGATAGATAAGGAGAAAGTGTCTAACCACAGGGACTGCACCTCCCAGTCCTGAAATAGTCAATTTCATTCTTATAGACTTACCACTTAAGAAAAGCATTTATTTCTTGACATGAGAATGATGCCACTTTCTTCCCTGTGAAGTTCTACGCCTCCACTGAGCAGCGTTTCTGTACATGGCTGTGTGATACTGACATTTCACACCTATAAGGTGCATAAGCCAAGTGTGCTTTTAAAAAGTACTTCCCACGTCCAGTGAATAGTGAAGTTTACTTTTCTTGGGTTTGTAAACAACAGACAGAAAGCATAGCTGGGTGATTTGAAAGGACAATGTCAGCTGTGAAGTATCGGTGGAACTGTTACCAAGTAGTAATTGGATGTGTGGGAAAAGGGTTTCCTTTCCTAGTAACTCATCTATCATTTCTCCATGCCTGTCAGATGAATGATCCAACCAGACTATGTAAGTGCTTCTCTACATTTGGTAGTGAAGTATCAAATTTTGAAACCTGGTCCCTGTTATTGGTGCAACACCATTGAAGCATCTGTTAACAGCTCTCATCTTTCATGACTACAGTGAGCACAGGTTCTATGGATGATGCAGCTTCCAGAGGAAGTTTTAAAGTGAGATTTCTCAGTTTCACAGACGACACTAAAATCCCTTTATGGATGTTCACATGATTTTTCTGTGAATCCAGACTGGCTCTAGAAATTCAGTAAAAAAAAGAAAAAATCTGGGGAAAAACATTATCATCTGGGTTTCCAACTATAAATAAGCACTCCCACAAGATCTTTAAATCCTTCTCTGATCTTATAAACGGCTTACTTTTTAAAGATGGAAAGTTACTTTGAGTTATGCAAGCTGCTTATGTTTGTAGGCAAATGACATCTTTAGTTCCTTGATGGAAAGAAACAGTTCAGGCATCCATGACTCATACTTCTGGTGGTGAGTGTGATCAGCAATAATAAACTTGCTTAGTGTCTGCCATGATTTAATTGAAAAGGGATGAAGCCACCATTCATTTAAATAAAATATCCCATCATTTCCATGACAGAATTGGGAATTATAAAAATGATGTGATTTTTTTAAAACAGCATAATGGATAGTAAAGAACTAAATCCTGAAGCTCTCAGCATAGATTGACCCTCTTGAGCTCTGAACTCTTAAGTTCTTTGGAGCTTTACCTAGGTATACCACAGGATTTGGCAGAGTTATAACCATATTTAATCAGGGCTTGATCCAGGTTGTAGCAGACATTGAAAAGTTTCCCACTGACTCTCATGGGCATTTGATTTGGCTTCTGTGCTCTATAAATTCGCTCTTTCATCCAAGCTTCTTTATCTCTTGATACCATGTATGTTCATCATATGCAAAGGTCAACAAGAATGTCATGATAGCCTTCAGAGAGAATTTATTTTGTGGTCATGCTGATCCAGATGTTATTTTAATGATTTCTCTGGCACCTTACCTAACATGAGGCAAAGCACACCTCCAGTAGTTGCTCAAAGTTGCTCAGATTGCCCCTCTGAAATGGTAATATTGCAGCATGGTAACTAATGAAGGAATAGTGGTGGTGGTTTTGTTGATGTCCCTGAGATGTTTTCTGCTATTGTGTTGCTGATCACTTCAGTCTCCCAATCTGTTACCAGAGCCTCCACGACCTCTTCCTTACCTAAAAGACTTAACATCAGTGCTTTCCAGTGCTGGGACCATCACTCGTTCAGTGCTGACCTCTCCTTCAGGAACAAACATGACCATCAGTCCAGGGAGCTCTGCTCTCATAGGTAAGTCACAAGCTCTACCTTTTTTTTTTTTTAATTAAAAACTGTTTAGAGTTTAGGTTATAGTTATGCATCTGGTTACCCAGCCATGGAGCACTGGGACAAAAGACATCAAACCAACAGAACACTGTCAGTCAGAATCACTGTCAGATTGTTCTCAAAACTCAGAAGCTCATTAAAAATGGAGGCCCTCTTATTAGTGTAATACCCAAAGCAGCATGCAGAATAAGGGCTCCATTGTGCCACACTGTTACACTTTGTTACATGATAAAATCAGTGTCTGCACAAAGACATATAAAGAAATACTTCCCAGTGAAATGCTCTTCATCCTTTTCTGCATTTGACAGAGGTTACTCCTCTTTACACTGCAAGTTCTGTTATGTGCTGTAAAGTCCTTTCAGATCTGTGGGCATAAGTTTGCAAGGATATTTCAGCCTTTTCTAAATTTTTTTCTCATGCTGATCTTGAGCCTCTACTAATTGTCAGGCTGAAGTAGGCAAACAGCTTTTCTAATGGCCTTGTTACTGCATGAAGTGAAATCTTGTAGAGTAATGCAGTTTCAGAACACTTTTTAGAGGCAGGGATCTGAAACTTTTACCAAAGGGTCTGTAAATGGCCTGAGTGTTTATAGCTCTAGTCTCTATAACTTCCAAAATATTCCTTGCTCACATTTAGTAACAATTTTAAGATTTTATTTTCACAGTGCAGGCTTTCTCTTTATGTTTTTACATTTGTATGTTTTACTTTTCCCCAGTGCTGACATATGCATATATTTGCAATGGGTTTTAGTGTGCAGCTCTGGATTACATTTCTGCTTGCACAAAAACAGCAGTGAAATAGTCCTTAGTAGGGAAAATATCTGAAGGTATTTATTAGCATCAAATAAATCATTTTGATTATGGTTTTATTGTACTTACTGTTGTAAGACTGTTTCACACTCCTGTTACATCCATTTCCCCTCAGGTTTCCAAAAGAGGGCTTTTGTAGTTGTAGGGATATTTTTCTAGTTTGAAAGCAGTAATTGAACCACAAAGGGTATTCTGCACTGCCTGTATATAATCATCTCAAAATTAATTTCATTTGGCCATGTCACCCTGCACCCTGCCATTCCACTTCAGGGACAAGAAAACTCCAGGAACTGTAATAGGAAAATAGCAAACCAGTCTCATTCTTGAGGCAATTCCTTCCACGTGACTGGCATTTTACTGACCTGCATTTGGGGCCTATTACTATTAATACCTACAGAAACCTCCTGAGAGGTTTCTTTCTAATGAAAAATCAGCACGGAGTGGAACTATCTAATCAATTAGAAAGCTATAGTCTAATGTGCTGCATCATGTTGTATCACCAAAACAAACACACAGCTTCCATGTATGTTAATGAAAGAAAGGACTCATCTCTCAGATATTTTCTTTTTAATCAATATCTAGTTTACTCTGTATACTAATATGAGTATGGATTACAATCCGACTCTATATTTACTCTCAAATTTAGTCTCCCCACAGTGCAGTAAGACAGTGCCTAAGGTTATCTTGGACTACTCTGATACCTTCATAATCAACCTTTGCTTGAAATATTGCTACACTGGAAATAATATCTTCATGTATTTCTAAGCACCAGCTGCAAATACCAGTTTGAAACATCTTACAAACTTTTTAACGTGTGACCCATGTCTGTGTCCCCTAACCACAACATTGCTTTCAAACTGTCCACTAATTCTTTCTATCCTGCCAGCTACTCAATTGACTTTAATCCTGTTAAGACTTTCATCATTGATTATGTTGAGATGTTTGCTCTACATGCCCCATACAAAAACTGAAAAATTTCTGTGTAAAGGGTTCCTTGTCTGTGCTACTCCTGACAGGTACCAGCATTTCTTGGGACTCAGAAGGCATTGAATTAGACTTGATATTTGGAAAGCTAAGGATATGAGGATTTGTTGAGTAGAGAAGGAAGATAGAACATGTGCAAAGGAACAGAGTGAAGTGTGGAGAGAAGGAGTGATAGCTAAGCTTTGGGGAAACTTTTTATTTTAAAGGAGCTAAAAGCTAATTTGAAAACATGTTAGAAGCAAATTCAAGTATGGGTTCACCATGTTTTAAGAAAAATGGGAATTAAAACTGCATTAAACACTGGATTTGTGCCTGTGGATGGGGGAGAGAAGGGGAAAATAGAGGAGCAACAGAAAAATTAAATTTGCAAATGAAAACTTGTTTGGAAATTAACAACTGTATAAAATATAACAACAATTAACAAGCTGAGTTAAAGGGAGAGAACTGGTGCCTCCAGATTATCATACATCACATGAACATTCTTCTACAAAATGGAATGGTGCAATACTTTCACTATCTTTTCAACTATTTGAAACAATGAACTTGCTCTCTGGAGTCAAGTCCTGTGTGTTTCTTCTATACAAATTTCAGGGTTTTTCATAAAGTAAAGGTCAGGGCCATAACACAAATACCTGGTTTGGAGGTCTTCTCATCGTCAAAGGTCTTCACTATGGAAATAGAGGCAAAGATCTGTTAAGGACCCATGCCCTGCCCAATGGAATCAGCAACTTACCTATTAAGATATAGCACAAAATGCCTTTTTGCATGAACTTACAGGAACATTTTTTGTCTTATGTACCTCTTACTTCTCCTTCTAAGGGGTTGAGATTTCAGTGAGCTTTCTAGGCCTAACTCCTCACTCAGTTAGGGATCGTGATAATGGCTTACACAGATCATTGTAGAGCACTGCAGTAGTCCCCAGCCCTCACATCCATTGGCAGTTTGTGTAGTAGACACTTCTGTGTCATCTGAAGGACAGGACTTCCCTCCAAGCAGAAGCTAAGACTCCCATGACCTTAGGAATATTTCTGGGTTTTACAGTAGTGCAAACTGGCAATCAGTGATGAGCAACAGACCACCATGCACTTTCTGGTGTCCTTGGTTCATGGAAAGTCACAAGAAGACTTTATACAACACATAATATAGAACACAGTAAATTTCTGAAGTGACACGAATTTTTATTCCTTTGGAAAGCTTACATGTTAGACCTTAGTCTTTGCAAGGTTTCTGTCTTTCAGACTTTTACAATTTTAGTACAAGTTTCCTCAATGTTGTTAATGAAAGTGTTACAAGAATTTACATCCTTTTCTCAGAAGGAAATTCTCTCTTTTTGTCACCTGATAAGACCTTTTTTGTTTTTTTAGCAATATTCATAACCATTTGACTTCTATAAGTCCTGATTACTTTGTGGAATTAACTTTTTGATTTAAAGGAATGTCCTAAGTTCATGTATTTTCAACAGTTTCTTTATTTATGTTACAGGTATCATGTCATGCTGCAAGAGGTTTTTTTACACAACTCCCTGGATACATTTCCATGGGTCTTGAGCTTTATAAATGTTAATTTTGGCAAAACTGAAGTTGTAGGACCTGGTGTCCCCAACTTCTAACACTCAAAAAAGGCTTTTTCTGAGCCTTTCAAGAAGGCCTATCAAGAATATTTGTTTTCATTTGGGCTCAAACTTGTTCAAACTTGAACCCTGTATTTGAAGACATTTCATTGAGAAACTCTGAGGATCTTAGAAATACTAGTGGGGATCCACTTCAGTTTCTCTTTATTGTGACCTTCCTGGAAACTTCAGCAGACTTGTCAAAAGACACAAAATACAGTATAAAGATGTCACCTTAGCACAGAAGAATACTGTGTTTATTGCAGATATTTACCATAGTGAAAGCTGAAGGTTTAATGAGTTTGACATACATTTAAGTGGGGATTCTTACAGGAACATTAGAAGAAGGTCAAAAATTAATACTTCTAGGAATATAGAAATGTGGGACTACCTATAAAGTGTCACTGTGAAGGAAAAAAATGTTGAAGGAGAATGTACTTTGCTTGTAACAGCAAGTATTTCTTGGCATCTGTTGCTTTGTTTAAATGTTTTGTGGCACATGAGCTCTGAGTAGCAGAGAAAATGTCTGTGAACACAGCTGATAGATTTTTCCCAGAGCTTCAGGTCCATGTCCCGCATGGGTTTTGGTTGGGTTTTGGGGGGGGGGGGGGGGGGGGGGGGGTGGTGTTTGGGGGGGGGGGGTGCTGTGAGAAATCTTGACTGTATGTGATTTCTTAAAACATAATGTGCACTTGAGGATATGTATAATGAAGGAAGAGGGAGAATGGGTATTGAGTAATAGCACAATGTGTATAATTAAATAATTGCTTTGGACTCTATGAGGCACCCAAAGGAAGAGATGCATTTTCATTTTAGATTGCAGCACAGGGCCATGAATTTATTGAGAAATGGAAGCGTAAACTGTTAAGATGGCTAGGATCTGAAATGAACTGAAAATCTAAATCCTACTTAGCATAGTGCAAAACTTAAGCAATATATTTAAAAGAGAAAAGACAAACAACAAAAATTAAAGATTGAGATAATGGTAGCTGTTGTGTATAGCTGCAATGTGTATTCTTAAGGCTCATTGTATCCTGATCAAACGTTCACATTCTGGCAAAAAAGCAGCAATTTTTTTGAATGAAAGAGGAGGTGTCATCATTTTATAAAGTCTTGGCCTTTATTCTGTTTTTATTCTTTGGATGAAATGAATGCAATGCAAATCCTGGATTATAATGGTTATTCTAGGGAATCTGAAGATATGACTAAACCTAGATGATCTTTTGAGGTCCCTTCCAACCCTTAGGATTCTGTGATTCTGTGATTTGAAACCTGGTTCTTCCCCCTTTTTAACTCTCTGACTACATATTCTCCAGTTCATTTACTGGGAGCTTGTTGTTGTGCCCAGCATAGGACTCTGAATCTTCAATTTTCAAGGCTACACTCTATCCAGTTTTGTACGTTTAGCAAGAAAAAGTCCTTATTTGTAGGAGATTCTGAGAATAACTGTAAAGTTAGATAGTAAAGTGTACTTTTTATCTTTTTATTACCAAAAAAAGTACTGTCAATTGTAAAAAAAAAAAGGAAAATACTCTTGCTCCATATTTATTGTGTTTCCCCTG